CAGATACCTACCATCCCACAGAGCCTGGAGATGGGGCTGCTGATAACTTTTCAAAGGGTCCTTGAGAGAATATTCCTGGATTGTAAAACTGGCAACAAGACTTTAAAAAGATTGGCTTCTCAAGGGAGCAGAGAAAGAATTTACAGTTACAAACTACAATTACAACTACCAATTTCTAAAATAAATGCGTTAAGAAAAGGGCAGCCACTATGGAAAACAGTGTGGAGATTTCTTAAAAAGCTGGAAATAGAACTGCCATATGACTCAGCAATCCCACTTCTGGGCATACACACCAAGGAAACCAGATCTGAAAGAGACACGTGCACCCCAATGTTCATCAGGGAATACATGTAAATCCATGGCTAATTCATTTCAATGTATGACAAAAACTACTGTAATGCTGTAAAGTAATTAGTCTCCAACTAATAAAAATAAATGGAAAAAAACAAAAAGAAAAGGGAAGTCAGGACCCCAGAGCCAGAAGGAAGACTGTCTGAAGTTTAGTCACACTGAGGAGAATGTTAAGACCCCCTTGTCATTGTCATCATCCACCAACAATTATAGAGAGCTTGTCACAAGCACGGTCCTGGGTCAAGAGATATAGGTGCCTTGTCTCTATAGTTTCCCTCCATTGTGTTTATCTCATAATGTATCAAATACTATTCTGTCAATTCTAAAGCTTGGAAACAGCTTAGATAAATAGATAAGGTGTTATATCCCTATGATTACAAGCATCTTAATAAAGGCAACTCACATAGAAGATGCAATATATATATATATATAAATGCATAAAAGGAAGCAAAATTGTGCCATTTGCAGAGACATGGGTGAGAGAGATTTTCATACAGAGTGAAGTCAAAAAGAGAAAAACAAATATCATGTAGTACTGCTTATATATGGAATCTAGGAAATTAATACAAGTGAACTTATTAACAAAGCAGAAATAGAGACAGATATAGAGAACAAATGTATGGAAATCAAAGAGGGGAGGGAGGTGGGATGCATTGCAGTTGGGACTGACATTTATACACCACTGTGTATAAAATAGAAAACTGGTAAGAACCTACTGTACAACACTGGGAACTCTACCCAGCGCTCTGCGGTGACCTAAATGGGAAGGAAATCCAAAAACAGGGGAATGCATGTATATGTATGGCCAATCCTATTTGCTGCAAAGCAGAAATTAACACAACATTGTAAAGCAACTATATTCTGATAAAAAAATTCATAATAAAATAATAGAGCAATTTTTTGGATTCCTATTTATCCAGAAATAGTTTGATTGTTTGAAGGAGTACCAATACATTTTGAGGTACAAAGACCAACAGCAAGTAAAATGTAATCCCTACATAAGAGTTTTTTCATCCCTGTAGCTGGTGATCTTGACTGAGTCAGGCAGCCTTTGAATTTAGCAAAACTGCTCCTAGAGTTTCTTTGTGTGCTGGAGCAAACAGTGCTTCTAAATAGCATACCATTTTGTGGAAAAACTTCACAAATTGGGAAGTGATCTTGGAATGTGATCTTAATCGATTAAATTAGGGGCAAAGTGTAGAGGCTAGAAGGCAGGAATTAAATGACCAGGAGTCTTGACATGTGGGGATATGTTTGACATGTTGGAGAACCTCAAGGAAAAGTGAGCTCCAAGGGAGAGACTGAGCTTGTTCCTTAAAGGAACAAAATAGTGAAGACTGAGAATCAGGCTTCATTCAGTATCCTGGACACTCCTTGAACTGGGCGTCCTAATCTGGGAGCGTAAATCTGTATAGGGGAACACCTTCTCGAAGAGCTGATTGTGGAGGATGGCAGATGCTTCCCTGCTCACCAGAGAGGGAGCAGAATGGGAGGGGTTGGCTGTCCAGTGTTGCTAAGCAGCAGAGTGGCTCTTGTCACAGTGGATAAAAGTGGGTGGCTTGGAGGAAGCCAGCAGCAAGGGCAGGCGTGAATGCCTGAAGATTCACAGCCAGCAGGACAAGCAGCAGCAGAGGCAGCGGCCAACAGACTGAGGGTGGTCAGTGCAGAAAAAGAGCTGGAGGCCAACAGGCAGCAAAGGGAATGGAACCTGGTGCTGCAGAATCTGTTTCTGAAAAAAAAATGTGAAACTCTCTCCTCTTCCTGGGGGTCCCACCTCCCACAGGAAAATGATGTTACCCAGATCCTCAGTTGATGGAACATAAGAGACCATTTGGCTACACAGATGAGGATTTATTTTTAGCATTTAGGGAGGCAGATTTCCTGGGAGGAAAAGACTGATTTCCTTCTCTTCAAGAAATTGGAGCATGGGCCATCAAGATTTAAATATTCCTGCAAATGTAACATGTTTTTACCTGCTAGAAATTGAGTCCCAGAATGGGACATTTTGAGTCTAAATTATTAGAAGAATTATTTCCACTTTCAGTTAAAAGAGCTCAGCACATTGCTGAGCATGAGTGGTTTTCTGACTGTGGATTTATTTTATGTTTCACTCTCTGCCTGTCTCTGTTTTTGTCAAGCACATTCAGACATAAACATCACCATAGATTCTGTGGGTGACCCATGTTTACCCCATGGGACTGTAAGAATCAATTTCAGCATTCCCAATGAGAAAACATCAGACATGAAACACTCAAAGTTGGAAGAGTGTCCCGTACAGAACTTTCTGTCCAAATGATAACAAGGAAGAAATCTGTGCAAGATTTTTTAAATGTATCCCTTTAGATGTGGTTTCATATATTTAAATTTGGCATTATCGTCATCTTTGGAGTTGTAGAGAACTACCTTGGCTTAAATTCGAGAGAAAGAGAGGATTTAGGTCGCCACTGATGATATGTTTAAATTTTAGGGTTATTTTGTTATTTGTTGATTTTATTTGATTTCTGCACCTCTGTTTAGATACTGCAGTAAGTGGGTGTGATAATAAACCTGGCATTTAGATGTGTGTGTAAGCTGGTTTCTTCTACTTATTGCTATGATTCCAAAAGTGGCCAAGAATCATTGGAGGCTGCTTAGATAAGAGGGTGTCTTTGCCACAACCCAAATAACAAAAGCAATGGGAATCTGAGAAGCAGAGAAAGAACACAGCTTTGGAAATGGAAAGATTTTCTACAGGTATGAGTCACATGGTTCTCTGAAAGTCACAGTTTCAGAGAGGATAACACAGGATCAAAATAAACTCATTCTCCAAACACCATGGAGAAAACTGTATGCCCAGCAGTAAGGCAGCATTTAGTCTATCCCTTAAGTCCTGTGCAAACTCCCTGAGGTGGCTTACAGCAGGTGAGAATCAAAGGCATCACGTCAAAGGCCCCAAACAGCATTTTACTAATTTGCATAAATGGAAATACACAGTCTTCAATAGTCAGAACCCAAACATCTCTTTAGCTTTTTCTCCTGCTTTTCACCAAACCCTCAACTCTAGCACAGATTTTTCTCTGCTAACCCTCTCCTGTTCTTTTCTACCTCCATTTCTTTGTTCAGGGCTTACTTTCCTGATATACCTGCCATCTTTCACCTAAATCATACCCATTTTCAAGGCACTGCTGATATGTCACCTTGGATAAAATCTTCCTCTACTACCAAGTCTGGAAAATGTTCTTTCCTCCCCAAAATTCCTGGGAAATTTTGCTGTTAATTTTAGAAAAGTTTCCTTTTTATTGTCTTGAATAGTTATTTAAATAGAGGCATATCTAACTCTCTAGTGCTTTTTAATATGTCTTGTAAACTTGTCTCATAAAATATAGCCTCTGCCTTTAAAAGGTTGATAATAAACAAGCTCCTTGGTGTCAGAAGCCATGCTTCACACTTTCATGCCTACCATTCTCGTTTAGTCTTTTGATGCCTTGAGACTACATCAAATGATGTATCACCTTCTGGGAGTGGCAAATGTTAATAATAAACCCTGGGAATCCACTCCTTCCTCAAACTCAATACCCAATTCATTTTAGACAAATAAAGATCAATCAGATTTTTTAAGATTTCCCAAAGGTGAATTTTCAAAGCCTCTTCTGATCTTTGCTTATTCATTTGAAAATCACTGCCCCATAGTTGACCTGACTTCACCACACAATTCCCAGCATACCCAGGCTAAATTTTCACAAATTCCCCTGGCTTAGAGTTCTCAAATGAGAGCAATTTTGTCTCCTCTGCTCCCCACCCACACACTCATGCTAGAAAATGTTTGGTAAAGTCTGGAAATATTTTGGTTTTTACAACTAGAAGCTGAGCTACATGCATCTAGTTGGTGGAGGCCAGAAATGCTGCTAAACCTCCTACAAGGACAAGCCAGCCCCATAGAAAAGAATTATCCATCTCAAGAAGTCAACAGGTCCAAGACTGAAACCCCTCGCTCTAGCTAAAGTAATCTCTCCCTCTTTTAAATGCCTGAGTTACTTTGTACCTCGCATCTTTAGAGAAACTACAAATTTTCACTTTGTAACTTGATGAGAATTGGGTCATGCCTTTATCACCTTTTGATGTTCCTGCTCTTGATCCTTAGCATCACCTTGTCTTATGCTTCTGTCTAGTTCCAAAGGCCACAAACAGCACCCAGGACAGAAATGACAGACCCTCAGAATATTGTTAATACCTCACCTAACATTTATTAAGTGTTTGCTCTCTTCCAAATACCCTATGTGCCAAATAAAGATTATCCTAAATGATCCGCCAACAACTCTATGTGACAAACAGTGTTATTTTATTGCTGGGAAAACCAGAGAGGTGAAGAAGTTACCTTGCTCAAAGTCATACAATTAAGAAATTAAAGATCCAAGATTCAAACACAAGCATCTGGACTCCAATGACCATCTTCTTAAGCAATGAAACATGCCATTTGCACTCTACTAAGTTAATCCTCAAGTACAGACCTCAGAATCTTTGGTAACAAGATTAGGAAAGGTATATTTCCAAGTAGAAGCAAGCAAAGCAGGAAAGCAGGTTACTTTCCCTATGCATTACCCAGATAAACAGTGTCAAAAATACAATTGTTTCTGATAAATTGCACCAATCATATGCCTTTCACTTTCCAGAAAACATGCAAAGCTCTGCATCTGTAAAGATGAGTAAGACATCGTCCTTGACTCAAACAACTCATGGTGTATAAGAAGAGAGAAGAGATTTAACAATTCCAACCCTTGGAGGCCAGCACCCTAGTAGACCAGTGAGCAAGGTATTATGGAGAACAGACATGGAGAAATATGTCTTACCTGCTCCTATGGGGCAGCCTGCATAGTCCCACGTGCCCACCTGCCCAGAGCAGCTTCACTGGGAATGGCTGAGGATTTTTGTTTATGTTAGCTCTCAGGGCCGTGAAATGCTACTGTTCCATCTAAAGGCATGTTAATCTTTAGTTTCTCTTTTGGAAATTCTTTAATTTGCAGGTTAAGAATGACATAGTTTTGGTTATTGTTTTCCTCAAGCAGTTCATATGCATGTGTAGCATTCGTGTAGAGAGAGTATATGTGAATAACAGAATTCCACGTCAACGAGCGGGTTATGTGGTGACTTACAAATATAGCAGTTTGGAGCTCTCATATAAGCCTCTCATAATAACACCATGAATAGTCCTGTTCTTATTTTGGATGCACAAAGAAGGGAATAAACCGAGGTAAAGAGCCTTGAATTTGCAGACTCTACCTAACTTTTTGAAGTGTGAAGAAAGCCATAGAAGTTCCTGACTGATAATGGAAGAGCTTAACTTTAGACGTTTTCTGCCCCACAAAGAGAATATTCAAAGGCAAGGGAAGTTTCTATATTTTTCTTCCATTGCTTTCAGTTCAACAAAACAGTTGTTTCATTTGCACCTAAAGCATATGATACAATTCTCTTAAGAATTAGGGGAACAAGGAGTTTACAACTTATAAGACTGTTTCAATAATTCCTGGGTTTTTCTTTGTTTTATTTTCCAGGAAGGTTGAAGAAGGAAGAGGTGATGAAGAAAGCAACACCATTCATTTTTTTTTAAAAAAGAAATGATGCATATATATGTGTGTGTGTTTGTATGTGTATGTATTCTGTGGATTATCTTGTTATCATTACAGTTATCTTCTTTCCACCAAAGTCTGCAATAACATTAACTCCTGCAAGGGCATTCTGGATCTTTTAAATTAGCCACTGTTATATTGTAGGAGACTGTCATAGGAGAGGAGTCAGTTTACTTTTAACATTTTCACAGGAGAGCTGTTTAAAACAACCTATTCAGCAGAAGACATCTTTAACCCTAATAATCTCAAGCCTTGATGAAAAAACTATATTTTGTAGATTATGGTTAAATGGAGAAAATTAAGTTCTGTAAGATAAATATGAGCTCCATTAACTTCTGATATCTGGATTATTATAGCATTACATAATATGTTAATCTTATGGTCTGCTTTCGTCCAAATAAGATGCAGTAGTACTAACACTGACTTCTGAACAATGGCCTAAATATGTTTTTTTTGGTAATGAAATCTGATGTATGTTATTTATAGTGACATGTGCTTTTATTTTCTCATCAGAAAACTAAATATTAATTGCATTTTACATTAGCTCCCAGTGGCTCAGCAGGTAAAGAATCCACCTGCAACGCAGGAGACACAGGAGACTCGGGTTCGATCCCTGAAGTGGGAGGATCCCCTGGAGGAGGAAACGGCAACCCACTCCAGTATTCTTGCCTAGAGAATTCCATGGACAGAGGAGCCTGGTGGGCTACAGTCCATGGGGTCACAAATAGTCAGACACGACTGAGCAATAACACTTTTTTCAACACTTAGTACTTAGCATATATTAAAGTTTTGAACCCAACATGTTAATGTTTATGCTTTGCCATGTAAATTTCCCAGAAGTTGTTGAGTTCAAATGCAGCCTACATCCACATGTAGTAATTTGTCAGAAACTTGTACTGTTTAATACTAGCTACTGTGCTGAACAGTATTCAAGTTACCATACAATATGGCTTTATACAAGGAAATGTGTGACTTTTGCTTTGCAGTTTTGACATATAGAACTTCCTGTGTCATCTTATTTAAATGAATTTATTAATAAAACTGGGGAGGGGGGGAGAAAAGAAGAAACACATCCTAGCTCAGCCTGAAAGGTAACACGACTGTCAAGTCTTAATGGAAGAGTAGACCATGTGGAGGTGATGTCAGCAAAGTGGGAAACAAAAAAAAACAGACCTATGGACGCCTCTGTTCTTAATGAAACTACAAGTATGTAACTCATCTGGCTAAGTAGAAAGTTAAGTGTAAAGCAGCAACGAGATTAAAAAAATATGAAAAGAAGAAGGTGAAATTATGATGCACTTTTTTTGTGAAGCTGATTGTAATGCTCAGGGCAAAGGACTGAGGATTCTTAAGCAGGAGAATGGCCTGGTCAGAGCTGCCCTTTTAAAAGGCCACTTGGGCTCCAGAGTGGAATATATATTCAAAGAGAACAAGATTTAAGGGGGAAAAACCATATGGGCATTCACTTATCCAGGGAAACAACGGGAAGTACTGAACAAAACAGTGTCAGTAGAGGTAACCGGAAGGTCCCTGGCAATAAACAGACAGTCCTTACCTGAGTTATATCCTAAAATTTACAACCCAGTACACACAACCACCAGAACAGAGTCCTTATGCCCCATCGTAAATATCTCACTGTTCAACTAAACATCCAGCATTTCTGTGTTTGCCCTTGGGTTTTCTGACAAAAAGTCTGGATTTTACTCTCTAAAACTCCCAAGCCAACATTGAGAGATGCTAAACAATTTAACAGTTAGCAAGATTCTCATTTGTCAAAGAATAATGATAGATGGATCCTAAATTCCTAATTTAGGAATTAAATCCTAAATCCTAAATTCCCCACACACACCCAACCTGTGGTTAACCTTCAATAACATGAAACAAATCATTTGAGGACTTCTTCCTGAAAGTTCCTGATAATGTATAATCTAAGTTCTTCACAGTGTACTGAGAGTTCACTTTGTCTTGTTTTGTATTATTTCCTCATATTTTAGAGGTTGCACATGTATTTATCTACCTTGATTTTACCTTTTTTGCGGCACATTACTTATTTTTAACACCAAATTAAGAATTTTCCCTTCTGAAAGTTTAAGCCTTAAAAAAGAAACTAATTCTCTTTGAAGTCTAAAAATGCTACATGTGCTCAGATATATCTAACAGAAATAAGTGCTAAAACACAGGGACTACTTAAACAGGATATGACAACATAGCGCTCTTTCTGCCGCCAATGGTCTAAAATAAATGAAAGGACCTCTTAAATTTACTGCATCCTTTCTACAGATCTTAGTGTACATCATTTCCTTAGGGGAGCCTTTCACAGTCCTCCAGGTAAAGTTAGATACCTCTGCTGATGTTCTCCAGTAGTCTGTACTGCCTTTATATTTGTTACCAAATTTACGTGCAGCTGCTTGCTGTTGGAAAACCAATACTCGAGAGACAAGTATTCGTTGTAAAGGACAGTTTGCTTTATTCAGAAGGCTGACAATCAGGGGAGAAGGCAGAGTCCTGTCCACAAACCCATTTCCAAAGATTCAGCTCAATCGTGAAAATTTTGAAAGGGAGAAAGGAGAAGTTAATCGAACTTAATCAGTTAGGGAGGGGGTCAAAGTCTTCATTATCTTCCACTGTGTGCAGACTTCCTTCTGATTGGTTGGTGGGGAGGTAAGAGGATGGTGCTCCAGGAATTCTGTGCTCAGCCTGAAGTTTCCACCCTTCACTTGGGTGGTTGTGCTAATTCCTGCAGAACTCAAAGGTGATATTATGTGTATTCCTTGAGGAGGAACCAAGGCACTTCCCCATGGCTGCAAAATTTTTTCTTTGCTGCTTCACTTTCATTTCTACATCCCTCCCTTCCTTTATAAACAACTGTTTGAATCTGCCTTTTGGAACTCAGTGAAGGTCAAGAAGGCTGAATGAAACCTATTTCCTACAAACAAGAAAAGGGGGACACAGAAAGGATTTGTAACTGGAAGCCCCATAGGATCTGTTCAGTTTCACCTTAATACTGCTCACATTTAGAAAAAATACTTATTTAATCACTCTTCCTCTTTCCCCACTTGCCTTCATTGAGGGAATAGTCTTTAGTGGCCCTTTTTATAACTTCATTCCCAGAAACACCAAACATAATGCCTGACAAACAGGAAGTGCTCAATAAATATTTAATGTATGTTTACTAAAAAGCCTCTTAATGAAGGTGAAAGAGGAGAGTGAAAAAGTTGGCTTAAAGCTCAACATTCAAAAAACTAAGATCATGGCATCTGGTCCCATCACTTCATGGGNTGCGCGTTGATTTGCCATTGTTTGGACTGTGATACTGTTTGAAAGGTTTTTATATGTGAAGACTTTTTAATTAAAAATTCTGAAAGTTTTTAAAGTTAGTAATAAATAGATTTCTTGTTTCTATTCAATAGGCCTGTGAGAAAGAAAACATAGTTGGGAAATAGAACATTTATTGATTCATAAATACTAAGAACCTCTTTATTCCCTAAGTATAATTAGACATAATTGTTAAAAAAAAAGATTTTCTTCCTTGAAGATATTTCCATCCTAGAACTATAATAGCAGTCATTTCAATTCTCCAGTGTTCCTGAAGTAGGCATTCATTTGGCTTTACTAAATGGAATAGGTGGGCGGGGGGAGCATTATCTTAAATTGCATTGCTTTGTTGAAAATTCTTTCTAATACACCTGTCTATAAAAGTAATCAAAACTTTCCACACCCATCAGCATCTGAGGATATTTTTCTCAGTCCAATCAAAAGTGACTAAATATCTCCTCAGTATCTGATAATTGGTTAAAGCTTAAATTGCTACTCTTTTTCTAGCAAAATAGAAATTTATAATTCGATCACTATAAATGTCCCTTATTAAGAAATCATTCTGTAAGAGTAACAGTATGGGCTTGAAGTAACAGAAGACCTATTAAAATTCCTTTAGATGTAAATAAATCTTACACTTCATGTAACAAGAAATTGGAGGCAGGGGGATTTTGTGGATGGGCTTTTCTGTAACTCTTTTCCTATTTCCCCTCTGCCACCCTCAGCATGTTGGTTGTTCATCTCAAGGCCCCAAAATGACTTCAGAAGATCTATACATCATATATTTAGTCAACAACCTTCAAATCCATAAAAGAGTCGTTTCTTTCCTTTGCTGGGGTAACTTTCCAGGTCCAAGATGGAGCCACTCCCTCCCAGGGAATCACATTGACAAACCAAGACTTAGATAATTTTTGTGTCTCTGTAAATGGTTCACTTGACCAGAAATGTGGTATATCCAGTCAGCCAATCCCCAAACACTAAGCCAGCTCTGAGCTCTATCCTTATTTCCTGTTCCTTCTCACCCCAAGCAAGATCGACTATGTGACCCCAGCCAATCAGATATTTTCTGTTTTTCTCTTCCTTCTTCTTTTTATAAAAGCCTCCTGCTCTCCATCCCATTTTGCAACTCTCTAAATGGAGACCGCCCACTTCATGATAAAGTTTGTATCTCTAAAATAGCTTCTTTAATCATTTTTAACACTTTGGACCTCTTTTCTTAAGAGAGATGGAAACTTCCGCAGAGCATTCTAACAGCACCGCCGCCCCCACCCCCACCCCCACAAGTCATACTCGTTCCTGAGTCACCGGCAAAGGGCAGGACCACCAGGGTTGTCTTCAATTAATCAGGATGTTGCTTGGTGCTGAGGAGGAAACAACTCCTCCTCCCCCAGGCAAATGAATGCTTGGCACCTGGAAAATTTCAAAGATCTGTTTTCAGGGATCAGAGTCAAAGGGAACTTGATAGTCAACCAAATGAAATCAACCCTATGAGTACTTTTTCTCCAATTTGCCCATTTTAAGGAATAGAAGAGTGATCATAACTGATGGTAAAAGTCCACTCAGATTAGATAATTTTCATTAGTAAGAGAAAAAGTTTATTTTTTCACTTGTTAATTTAGTCAATGCACTAAAAACGAGCTAGGTGCTAGAATAACATAAATCATGGTCCCTGCTTTCATAGAGTTTCCACTATAGTAGGGGAGATTGACAAAATGTTAGCTAATAAATGATAACACAAACATAACTGAGATGAGTGCGGTAGAAATGAAACCATAGGTTGTAAGAGGATAATATGGGGAGGAAGCACCTGAATTCAGTGGTTCAGACTTACCAGGGAGCTGACGATAAAGGGAAGATGGGTGGAAAAGAGTTCCCTGGGCAGAATAATAAGCATGACAAGGTCCTAACACAGGACAGAGGCTGTCATGTATGGAACAGACACTTCTCTTGTGGTCTGTGTGCAGGTTGGAAAAGAATTTCCA